TTGCTTCCTCCGGTAATCGTGAAAAAAAAAAAGGTGGCCGAAAACCAAAAGCATTTTGCTACCACCCAATTTCAAACCCAATCAAATTTTTGTGTTAAAATAAACAAAGGGATAAGCCCCTTGGGGTTTTTTTTGGAGTAGGTTGGCCCAGGTACACTGGGTAAATAAATCGGGACATAAGACATCTTTTTTTACTCCGGGTTGAAACTTCCCGTTACCAAGGGGGAAGGGGTGAACGCTCTAACAATAAAAGGGTTTACCGATCATTATCTTTAAATAACGTTAACTAAAGGGGAACAATTTATTTGACACAGCTCAAGCTCTTGCCTTCCTTTTAAAAAAAAGAAACTAATTAATAAAAATCCATTGTATTACACCAATGCACTGTTTTTTGAACCCTAATGTACTAATGTAATTTACATTCTGACGAAAATAACATTATATGAATACAAATAAAATAAAAGAAGCCTCCCTGAGTTACTACAAGCTATAAATAGATTTTAAAAACGTTTTATAGAATAAAAGTCACTGTGACGTTGTAAAATGGTGGTGTGTGGCACACGCAAAGAGCCTCATCACTTTACATAGGGTTTTGGCGGTGCGACACGTAAGTAACAAAGTTCGGGACTCCACCACCAACTGTGTAAAGGCCCAGATACCACCGGCCAGTCACCTGGAGAAGTCGCCAACGCTGACCACCGGACTGCTGCGTCCCGGCACTCCCTGCGTATGACCAACTTGCGCCACTGGAACACACGCAAATCCAAGCCGAGCACGATGAACTTGCGCATGCGTAGGTGCAATAACCTCCTTACCAGCAAAGCGGCGAGGTAGGTTACATCATTCAAAAGAGGCAACAACCGGGGGAAACAACCGGAAGACAGAGAAGAAGAACAACTCAGTGATATAAACCGGTACCAAAAAAACAAACAAATAGAGTTTTCTTTCCATTTTCACTCTCGTCCATGAAAACATGAACGAACAGGAGCAGGACGAACGGGAGATACTTTGGGCTACAGGCCCTTGACTCACGCTTGTGGTTAAATAATTTGTTACCTCACTCACTTCCGTTAATGCTTCTCATGCACTATTCGCTAGCTGGAACAGCCAATCAGGGGGTGTTATCCCTTTGCCTACTCCGTGGTTTCTCCGGGACGCCCGATCAACATGGTTGAATCGGGGGAAGAAAAGCGTCAGGGTGGGCGGCAGAAAAGACCCGACGGGCGGGCGCACACCACTCCGAATAGGACGTGCCCACGCTCATGTTCGGCCTGACTCCCATTTACTGCCAATTTCGGGCCGGTGTATCTGGGCCTTTAAAGGAGTCATGCTGGAGTCACGCATTCTGGTGAGATCAGGTTGCAAGAGACGCAAGGAAACCAGGGTTGCGGCCGGATAATCCAAAAATCAGCTCCTAACGTCTAACCCTATCGTCTATCCCTTGACCTCTGAGTGAAACGTCACGGGGTTAAGTGATAGTGGATAGGAGAATTCAAAAGGATTTAGGAGAAGAGACTGCGGTACTTTAGAGAATCCGACTGCACTTTCACTATCCGACGTGTTTATGATGCACCACCGGACGTCATAAATGTGCGTCTGCTGCTGTGGGGAAACTATGGAAACTACAGTTTTCTATACAGCGGACTACAACATGGATGTATAATAAGAACGACGGACCACTATAAACTCATCTAGAGACTCTGCACCGTGCTCTGATGCTGTTGCTTTATATTTTATTAATGTGGACAACAGAGAAACATATTCTTCATGACCAAAGTCGGAATTGAAATAAAAAAGGAAAGTAAAACTTATGCTCGTCAGTCACCCTTCCCAGTCAACGTTGATATTTCTCTTTTTGATTATAATACTGATGAACGTTCAAAACAAAGCACTTTGGCAACTTGCCTTTTTAAAAAGCTCAATAAGCACGGTAACTTTCATGATATAAAATTATATCATGAAAGTTACCGTGCTTATTGAGCTTTTTAAAAAGGCAAGTTGCCAAAGTGCTTTGTTTTGAACGTTCATCAGTATTATAATCAAAAAGAGAANGGAATGATTACTATCTCTTATGTGGTTCCTGGGGGAGGTAAGTAACTAAACACTAAAACCCGCATATATTTATTTTTAACTGAACTGACTGTACATACAGGGAACCATAGCTGAATCGGATAAAAAATGTGAAGATATCAGAATCAATACACTTTCTTGTTGGTGTTCTCTTTACAAATATCTTTAATAATCTATACATAATTTTTATAAACCGTGGTAGAGTTGTGTCTTATGGGAATTTTGTTAGTTAGTTAAGATCGACGTTCATTGTGACATGGATTTGTTTATAGTTTCCCCTTTAGTTCTCTTTTCACTATTAGAACTTCACGTAAAGTCTTGTGGTGTGTGTGTGTTGTGTGTGTGTGGTGGGTGGGTGTGTCGTGGTGTGTGTGTGTGTGTGTGTGTCGTGTGTGTGTGTGTGGTGGTGTGTGTGTGGTGTGTGTGTGGTGTGTGGTGTGTGTGTTGTGTATATATGTGAGTTGTGTGTGTGTGTTGCTGTGTGTGTGTCCTGTCTGTCATGTGTTGTGTGAGGCTGTGCACACAACCGTACGTTTTGTTTAACGTGATCTGGTGGTCACCATGTCCGAGTTTGTTCCTATATTCACTACGTTCTCTTACGTCGACTTGGTTTCGCCATGCTGTGTGTGTGGTGTGTGTGTGTTGTGCCATAAACCAAACCATCAATGCGCTCTCTAGACCACATATCATCCAACAGTTTATCCGGTTTCCTTTGGAAAATCAACAACTACACAGGATCAAAGCCAACTTCATGGCAATTGCAGGTATGCCCGGTGCGGTCGGTGCTATTGACGGGACGCACATAAAAATAATTGCGCCATCAAAAGATGAGGACGTGTTCGTCAATAGAAAGAAAGTACATTCCATCAACACGCAGATTGTTTTCATTCATCATGATAGGGGGACTTGAACGGCGGTATGGGCTGTTATTGAAAGTGTTTAAGTGCTGGAAATATGCTCATTGGATAATAGTTTGCAGGGTGCTTTTAATTGCCTCCTTGATTTAATGCAATTTACGTATTTTTATTGTTTGCTCTCTCTCTTTAACGTGCATATACAACGTCATTATCGTGGTCTGCACAAACTTGTCATCATGCGTGTATTCTGCTAACTGCACTGTCCATAACTATTTGATAGGAATACATTTCTAGCCTAGGCTATTTCCTTGTTTTTCGGTGATTTAGTGGGCTCGTTTGTGGGATGTTGCGGATGAGTTTCACCGAGACCGCCTTCTCTGAACAACCAATCACCGTACTGACCGATTCTAAACTCATGCACGAGAATCGACGTAATCCATAGCAACGGCGCGTCACTCTTAGTTCACTCTTAGTGATTTATCCTTAGTATGAGTAGGTCTCAGCGGCTTTGTGAATAACTTTTAAGAAAAAACTCCTACGTAAAATGTTTTAGCGCGAGTTAGGAGCACTCCTAGCGGTAAGATAAAAATGCTTTGTGAATACGGCCCCAGGTATACATATTGTCCTGAATTATCTACCTCTGTCCTTGCTCGGCCATCAGGTTGAGGTGAGGCGTGTTGTTTCTCTTCTCATCCGGCTGGTTAGCATCCAGGTCCCCCCAGCCTATATCATCTGCCAGTATGACGATGAAGTTGGGCTTCTTACTGCCTCGATGCTGGGACACTTTGTGGAGCAGCAGCCCACACATCAGCATCCCAGACAGAAGGAACAGAGTGAAACCCGCCGCCATTTTGGGTCAAACTCTGCAAAGGGTTACATGGGGTTAACTTGAGCTAGCATATGTTTTTTTAACCATGAGTAACATTGAATTTATAAACAGACAGTGAACATGATTGCATACAACACATGCAGGATAGAAGGCAGAGTCAACAAGTGAGGGAGTGGAAAAGGTTTTAGGCAACTGTGACCAAATCATTTATTCTGGTTTCTAGAGGGAAGGCAAACAGTGATGATTATAACATGTGAAGGCATGGCAGAAATTGTCTGTGATGATGACTTACTATTTGCCCAAAGTTATTTGCATATACCAGACGCTCCTTTCTAGGCCACCTTATACCAGTTTATCAAGATATACGCGCAGGTAGATCAGTCATTTATCTTCAGGAACATTTGCTCAAGTCTTGAAATCTGGCACAGACGCACGTTTGGCAATAATCTTACACCACGAATACGACATTTTAAGATCACATGAAAAATTATACTTTTATTGATTTTTGATAAACAAATGTTTTATTTAATGTACAATATGAAATGTGTTGTTAACACTGCATCTTTTAGAACTGTACGTTTTGGAAATGTAAAGGTGTTATCAACAAGTTTATAAATCAATGTGTTTATCTCCACCCCCACCGAAAAGATGGCGGTGGCAGGCAGGTCTCCTTGCATTTTTAACATATGCCTTCATTTTAAACTTTTTAAACACGGGTCCATTCTTAAATCCGAATAATGGGCCCTGCATCTTAGCAGTGCACACAGAGAAATTGAAGCACTTTGTGTACGGTAAACACGCTCTGATGCAAACATTTGTTCTTACCGCGGGCCAACAACAACCTTAAAGGGGACCTATCATGCTATATTTGAATAATATATTGTAGGGCCATACCTATATAAGGTATTTTTATAAGTTTTATTTTTCAAAATACCAAACAGATCATGCATTTTAGCCATGCCTCATTTTGCCTCACTCCAGCTCTGTCTTTGCATTAGCTGGAGCTGACCCCCCCCCCCCCCGCAAAGGAGGGGGCGAGGCACAAGCGTCATGTTACTATGCTGTTGCCATGCTGTTGCTATGCTGTTGCCATGCCACGGCAACCTCTCATTCCCCTGATAGGTGGAGAGTTGACCATACAGGCGGAGTGCACCTCTGTGACATCATAGAGGTGCAAATCAGAATCCACATGTATCAAATCCTTTGCAGCCCTGTTTTTAGAGATTTGGGTATGGAGGAAAAGAGAGAGGATTGTATTTTCTGACACTTGGTGAGTTCCCTGGAACACCGGGGACACATATTCATGTATAAAAGACGTATACAAGTGCATTTTGCATGATAGGTCCCCTTTAACGTTAGATGCGAAGATTATTACCATTCGCATTATGTGTACACTAAATATGAAGTTTCAGCCAGCTCCTGTTAGCTTAGCCTAGCACACCTGCTTGAAAGAGATGCAAACAGCTACCATGGCTCTAGGGTAACAAAATGTACACCTGTAAATCCTGCTAAATAACACGTGCTGTCGTATGTTTAATGTGTAGAAAAACATAACGTTTTGGTTTTACACTAAAGCCTAAATACTTTTTGCTAGTTTGGAGGACTGACCTCTGGCAGCTTAACTACTCTGTGACAAGTATGACGCATTAGGTTGTTATACTTTACTCGTTAAGGGGCTCGCAAGTTTGCTAGCTAGCACTGGTTAGCCTATAGGGAATTAGATGAAAAGTGGACTAATAGCCAGTAACTCTAGGTCTTAACGATCCCGAACTTCCCGTGGCTACGAGAATACTGAGCTACAGACCACTCCTCCCCGGTGAATTAGTCTCCTTGCAGCGGAGAGTGAGGTTTCCATGGTAAACTAGCCGCTGATGCTTCGCAAAATCCTACCGATGTAGGCGTAGTTGAATCTAAAATGGGTTGGAAAAAGGATAGGCACAGTAAGGCTATAGCTGTTTTCCGTTATACAAAATCTTTATGCTAAAACAAGCTTAGAGTACATTGTGTTGCGTTCACTTCATTCTGGAAGAGTGGTACAGTGGCCCTCGACACCCCCACTGTTAACTGTCATCACTGCCTTTGTCAAACTACTACAGTCTCACATGAAAGGGCCCTGACTTGGCCTAGATGTATGAGAAAGGGAACACAGACAAACACAGGTTACAAATAAATTGAAAAAATATGTGTGTGTCAGACTCGTTTCAAAAGCCGGACACAAAAAAAACTGAAAACAAAAAAAGAAACCACACTCGACAACACAATTGCATTTTCCACAATGGATTCTGAGTCTGGGAAATTAGAAAGTACAATGATGCACACTGCACACAATGGCCTTACAAATTGCTCATTTGTGTTAGAAAATACACCTCTTTTCTAGCGATTCTGCCATCACTCCGCCAGGGATACGCACTGTGACAGATTATGCGTAGCTGTCATCTGCTGAGCGAGTAGAGTTCATATGAAAAGTAACATGATTTTTCAATTTGTTTTTTGGCTCTAAATACTGTTGAAGCACTGCTGCATACAGCTTGTGAACAACAAGGGGACAGTCAGTGGTAAAGGTTACACATACTGCATGAAACTCCTACATTTAAAGCATGCATTTGAAAAATCACAGCATCAAGAAACATTAACACACTAATTCAATTTGGATACAGCTTTATCCTGGCTATAAATGGAAAAAATGTTTTAGAAAGGTCTCCCTACCTGTGAAAAAGGTACAGGTTGAGGGGTGAATTCTTTATTTTTAAAGAACTTGACATTCAAGGCTTTGTCACAATATGATTTAGCCTTGGATGTTAATGAAACCTGGTAATGCTGGGAAAAAATGTGTATGCTTGCTTACCTTGTTTGTCATAAAAATATGTTTTTGAAGAGAGTGGGATGTTGTGGGTTTTCATGACAGACAACACAATGTGTCCTTGTACATTATTCACTGCAGTACCGTAAATTGAAATGTTGCCATGTCACTGGTGTCAAAGGAAAACATGTCAATTCATTGGTTCAGTGGCTACAGTTTTACAGGCTTGTCTGTCTCTTTTCTTTACATTAACGGCACAATAGACTGGTGCAGAAATAAGGGAAAAGGTGATTACGGGGAACACAAGTCCACCTTTAGCATAGCGGTGTTGATGTGATGGGAACGTGATCTTAGTTTGTTTATATCCTAACGTTAGCTTTTACTTCTGGTGATTGCATTTCCGCTTAAGAATCTTAAACATGTGTTTGCCACTAAGGTTTTATTGTGAAATATTAAGGAATCCAATTAAAAAATCCTATTGCCTTTTGTGAAGGAAGCCATTGTGATGCTACCTTCCGGGTCGGCCAACAAAAATATGTCATCACTGCACCACGGTAGGTAGAATTTGTGCATTGCGGTTTTGTAAACACATTTGAACCATCCCCAGCTTCTTCTTTTTTTGCTTTATATACTTTGTGTTCCGCAGTTTTATGCTAGGATCAGAGACTCTTGTTTGATGCCAGCTTACGATCGATAGGTTTTAAGGAGGTTGACGCCCAGGAATGTCCTGAACACATCTAAACAAAAACATATAGCCAGCAATTACTCATTGTCTCTTTTATTTATATCAATTATGAAACATTTGCAAAAATAATTAAAGGTAAGAGGTGCGATTTTTTTTCTAAATTCTATCATAGATATATCTTTGATATACAGCGATTATTTTTCTTTTCTGTGTCTGTATCAACAGGCTTTCCTTCTTTATTTTCATTTCATACTTAGCTTTGTTGTTTGTTTGTAGTTTTACTGCAGGCTTGTTTATGTTGGGATTTCAAGAGATGAAGATATATGTCTGCTCTTTCTACACTAAAAAACTGACACAGCCCTGCCAGAAGAATATGATTGGAAAGGTATAACCGAAAGTAAATATTGTAAATCCCTGTCTATATGATGTTTCGAAAATAAATAAATAAAAGAAAAGTTGCCACTCAATACAAAAAACTCGATGACAAGCAGTCCATAATCTAGCAGCCATAATGGATCAACAGGTTATTTTCGATGAGAGAAGCAGCAGCCTCTTGCACACTTTAACAGCATTTACTGCAAAATAAGTGTAAAAATGTGTCATATATATTTTTTTAATAAAATCACTTACGGATACAAGTTGTACAAACATTTGAATATATGTAAATGTAATAATTACAAGTGAAAATAATTTTCACGTGTACTACGTGTAAAATCTTAACCTGAAAGTGGCTAGTGATTAGAATAAATATTGACTGTGAATGTATGCAACAATGTATGGCATTGTATATAGCTGTCTAACAGAAGTTAAATCCATTTCTCACTTATTCTGACAATGTACTTAACTCCAAATAAAAGAACCCAATAAAAAGAGTTATTAAATAATAGTGAAGTCACGTTGTAATAACAATAACTCATCTCTCTCCAGTTTTCTTTTTGTGCTTTGCCAAAAGCCACTGTGTCAAGTGTCCTTCTTGGGTTGCCGTCCGGAGTTCTTCAATATGGCAGACCCGATCCAACGGGCTGGACTCATCGAACCCTCCAACAGCCCCTGGGCAGCTCCAGTAGTCATGTTTCCCAAGAAAAAGAAGGAGGACTTTCGGTTCTGCGTAGACTTCAAACCGCTCAATAAAGTGACCAAGAAGGACCCATACCCCCTTCCTCGCATCGATGAGGCACTCGATACAGTGGCAGGGTCCTCCTGGTTCTCCTCCCTGGACCTGCGCAGCGGATACTCGTCAGCGTCTTCGTAGAACAAGGAGAAAGACCTCCCCCCCCCCCCCCCCTCACACATCACGACATGTTTGAAGAAAACCACACTTAGCGTCATGCAACACATCTGCCTAGGACGGTCCAGTCTTCAACACTGTAAACGGACGGCACACACAAGAGGCAAAAGCCACACGTTTCCGGCAGGAACTACAACGGGTAACTCCCGTTTTACTTGTTCGTTACTAGAGGCGTGAAGCGCTACTTGTCCCTGTCACCCTCGGTCCCCCCAGCGGCCACAACAAATTACGGCCCCTGAGACTCTGGACGCTGCCGTCCAGACAAACTCAGCCAAAACCGCATCACACCACAGGACCAACAAAAAAAACAAGCGGCTCGTTTACAACAGCCTCAACAACATCACAGCAGCACATTCAAACTCCAAGACAGAGGACGGAAAACAAGAAGGTCCGAAAAACAGCAGAAGACTTTCCTTCTTGTTTTAGTCGTAACCCGCGTAGAGCGGGAAGAACGGAGACGCCCCAAACTAACTGTGGTCTGGTTGAACGAACCGTGCACTTTACGGCGGAGCCATCTTCACGCTGCACGCACTCAAGGAGAACGCACGGAGCCCGGGCCGCGTGAGCACCGACCGCCGGAACGTTCCCTCAGCACTCCGTCTGCCGCGTGCGCCAGCGCGACTCCGCCAGCGACCGCGTACTACACGCTTGCGCACCCCAGCGTGGTCCTCCAGCCCGCCGTTCGGGTAGTAAAGTAGGAGCCGGCGCGGCCACCGCGTAGAGGCAAGGATTCGTCCACTCCTCCCGTCCTCGTCTTCACCTTAGAAACCCCCCAGCGTCTGGCGCATGCGGTAGTCGTGTTCCCCTGCTACCCGCAGCGGCTCAGAGAACACAAACGGCGAGCCGATACGTTCGACAACTCCGGTCACAGCCGCACCTTCGGCAAAGATGGCTCGCCGTAGCAAGAACACACCGCCTTTCCCTCGGCGCACAAAAGCCGTGTCAGTCAGCACATTTCGCGAGAGCCTGACCTTTCAAGGCCGGGCACCAGACACACATCCCCGCCGCCCCCCCCCCGGACACACTACTGAGCAGTCCGCGCGGCTTCGACCCATCTTGTAAGGGAGTAGTTCGCAGGCTGTTATCCCAGCGCCAGACGGAGAACTAGTCCATCCGAACATACGGAGTCCGGTGAATCACTTCAATCAGGCTACGACAACTCCTACATCCGCCAAGGGCAACCAAAGCGACGACACGCCCCCCCTTTGCCCGCCGGCTCTCCTTCTACAGCCTCGCGGCTGACGGCAGCGACGGTAACACGCTGGCGATGCCCTGTGACGACCCTCGACCCGTACTCTCAGACAGCATCCCGGGAATGCACCGATACGTCGCACAGCGGTCGCCGCTGCCATCTTCTCCGCGCGCTGTCGGCAGACACCACCCCGTCCCTCTCAGCGCGCGCTCGCTCGCCTCTCGCCGCGCGCGTTTCCTCGCGTCCTCCGTCCGCTCGCTCTCTCACCCCAGTCCTTCTGCTAGTGAACGGAGGTGCACTCGAAGCGACATCATCTTCGTTCTCGGGCGCGCTCGTGCAGGCGCGCTCTTCTCGCGCGCGCCCGCCCTTGTCGCTTGTCGCCCCGTGTCGATACGTCCTCTTGGCGAAACGTGTTGCCCGCGACCTATCCCTCCTGTCCCGGTCCTCTCGCGAAGTCGCGCGCTCGTCTCGCGCGCCGCGGCCTCGCGCAGTCGCTCGCGTCGCGCGAGGCGCTCCCACGGCTGCGGCGCGAGGCAATCGATCGGCCTCTTTTCAAGCGGAGTTGCGCCTCGCTCTCGCTCGCTCGCGCCCCGCGCGTCAAGCTCGGACGCGGTCGCCGTGAGCGTCCGGTCGCTCGTCGCAAACTGGCGGCCTCTCGACACTAAGCTCTTCCTCCACGGCCTCTGCCTCTACAGCAGGGTCCATTTGGTTGTGTAGTACCGCCTCCCAGCCACGGTCCGTGGACCGCAGGTATTCGCGGAGAGTTTGCAGGCCCGTTCCCCGTAATGTCTCCGGCTTACCCTCTTCTGAACATTTGACGGTATTTGGGGCCAACCATAATTCCGCCAAAAAGGACAGACCGAAGTNATGCAGATGATTTAGACATCAACTTTATAAAGACACATATTGAAGGTCTAATAAAACCAATTAGTATGCTAGTAAATCAATCTATCAGCACGAGGGAATTTCCATTGTCCTGGAAAGTGGCCACGGCGACACCGATTTTTAAATCTGGAGATAAGGCAATGATGTCCAATTACAGACCAATCAGCATCCTCCCCTGTGTCTCTAAAGGTCCTTACACACCAAACTGACACCAAAGAACACCAAAGAACACGTCCCGACGGAACGTCGCCTCACCTCGCCTCAAGTGTCCTGCGTCTTGGCCATGTTTCGCACTGGAACACACCGCAAAGACTTCAGAAGTTGCACGTACGGACTGCGCATGCGTGAGTGGCAATAACTCTCCTTACCAGCAGGCATCTGTAGTGTGTATTCGTCATTCAAAAGGGGCAACAACCGGAAGACAGACTGCGTGATAACCGAGAGAAGAAGAACAGACTGCGTGATATAAACAAACAACAAATAGCGTGTGCGTTCCATTTTCACTCTACAGCGAGAAGCTCATGGGGCTTTCCCGACCCTGTGTCGAGAGCTGGAGTTAAATGAAATCTCAAATTTGCCTTCTTAATAGTTTGTTTGGGTCAATCACTTCTGTTTCGCTTCTCATGCACTGATTCGCTAAGCTGAACAGCCAATCAGAATGATTTCTTTGGCCGACGGCCTTTAGCCGACAGCTTCCCGATTCAATGTCGAATCGGCGGTGGAAGGTGTCGGCACGGCCGAAAAGACATGAAGGTGCAGTACACACCGAGACACACCAATCTGAGTAGGGCGACATGACGCTTATCGACGGCCCGACATCTATCGACGGCCCGACATCTATCGACGCCCGACATCTATCGACGCCGAAAATCGGCTTGGTGTGTAAGGACCCTAAGATAGCTGAGAAATCGGTGTCAAAACTAATCACCAAACATTTAGACAAAGGTTTCGCTCCACTCCACCCAATGCAATTTGGTTTCCGTGCTCACCACTCCACTGAGACAGCTAACTGTGTCTTTGTGGAAAAGGTTAAATGTATTTTGGACACGAGCCCTTATGTAGGTGCTGTCTTCCTTGATCTCAGGAAGGCATTTGACACTGTTGACCACCAAGTGCTCCTTACAAAGCTGACTTATGTCAATGTTTCGGCAGATTCAATACATTGGTTAAAGTCTTACTTATCAAACAGAAAACAGTGTGTTTTGGTCAACGGTGCCAAATCCCCCTACCTTGTCAACCCTGTTGGGGTTCCACAAGGTTCCATTCTTGGACCATTACTGTTTTCACTGTATATTATGACTTGCCTAATGTATGTCCCGAGTTGAATGTACAAATGTAAGCCGATGATGCAGTCATCTTTGTACACGGGAAAAAGACTGAAATAATCTCATCTTGTCTCTCTAATGCTTTGGACAAGGTTAAACACTGGCTGAACAACATTTGCTTACAATTAAATGTAAAAAGACAGTGTGCATGATGTTCAGTAAACGACCAGTCATATATTCCTATATTTTTCCAGATTGACAGATTTCCATTCTCCGGCCTCCACCTGCTCTCCTTCCCGTGCTGCCATCCTGACCGGACGCTACGGCCTGAGAAACGGAGTGACTCATAATTTTGCTGTGAGCTCATTGGCCGGCCTGCCTCTCTCTGAAGTCACTCTGCCACAGCTCCTACAGAAAGAGGGGTATTACACCGCCATGATCGGGAAGTGGCATCTCGGCCACAATGGACCATACGCTCCAACTAACAGAGGTAAGAGAGAGATTGAAATATATTCCCCACAACACCTGAGGAACCAACTTAAAGCAAATTTCAGATATTTGTTGAAATCAAGGAAATAAAGAAATAAAATGGTGCCATACAACAAAATGAGACGTAATGGTGCAAGTAAGTTGCAGGAATAAGAACACAATGGCCCATACGCTCCATCTAACAGAGATAAGTGAGAGCTTGACATTTATTCCCAAAACCCCTGAGGAACCTTAACACAACAAATTAGTCAGGGATTTCATGACCTTTTTAGTAAAAGTCTACACTGATCTTTTTAGCCTAAAGCATACCATTCAAACTTCTATAAGACCCAGGACTCCACTGACATATACTCCTAACCCCTCCCATAAACACTTTGATTTAATGGGAGCCAATCCTCATATTCCATACTGTAAATGCACATTTCTCTGTATATTTTGCACGTTTCTGTTTAGTTCCTAACCCTTTATAACTGCATAGCTCTGCCATTTTGAATTCGGATACAGTGTTTTTGAACATAGTTAAATGTGTTCCTATTTTACAATGTATTTCCTCTTACTGTGTTCATGTCTGCACCATTATATTCATATGAGATAGAAACTAGCCTGCTACAATCCCAAACTATAGGGAGATAATACACAGAGGAGTAAAGAGTGTAAGGTTAAAACCAAATATAAAAGTACTCAACCGTTGCAGCCCACATTTATGATCTGTAAAAAGGCACCATTACTATCTGTAACTGAAGAATTGCTGACATGCAACTACACTGAACAGTGGAAGGATTTACATTATTAAAATGCCAAAACATTTGAATTCGCCACATTAATCAACGAGCCCGCACGCTCCATTCCTGTCTCACTCAGCTGTGTCCTTCCAGGTCAGTGTTATGGCCTCAGAGAGTTTATCTACCCCGCCACATGGAGTGTGAGAGCGATCCCCCGGCCTCGCTGCAGGGAACGCTGCGGTGTCGTCTCAGTAGAACCAGCTGCAGGGATAGTTGTCGTAACTCTGCAGCTGTTTCGACTGAGACGACACCGTTTACTATTTTCCTACAGCCAGATTTAACAACA